CTGGTGGAACCTTCTGATTTATATTCTTTTGAAGGACACCCTCTTAGCCCTAAAAACATTCCTTTTAAAGCTGAACAGTTTTTCAGAAACACATCAGCTTCTTCCTTCCCCTGCAGACGGTGCCTGAGACCTGGCTGAGCCATGTACCTGCATCGCGTAAAGGCAGTGACAGGGCATAAAAAAACCCCTCAGACATGAAACATTGCTGAGCTGTTTTATGCATTGACAATATTAATGATTGTGGCATGTCTAAATCCTAATTCCTTTAATAAAATCAGTGTTTCAAACTGATTTTCTGTGGACATTCTGACAGTGGGGAAGTAGATTTTGAACTTTCCCTTTCCTAAATGTACTTCCATGTCCTTGTACCACTACATTTCATCACTGCCAGTTCCATGTGCCTGCTGCTCTGCCAGACAAAGCACATTAAATGAACCCTCAAACTTAACAATTATGGAAGGAAACCAAGACACAAATTACGTCTGACATGGTTAGAGCACTGATATCACTATTTAGCAGTGGAGAATTAGTGAAGTTATGAATAAATCATTATGAAGTGTATTTTGAGCCATTTCCTGTTTGTATATGGTGATCACTTATAAAACATCAGCATCAGTGATTGCTGCAGTCTTTACTTGTAACGCCATCTCCACACTACAAAATACCATTTTTGTTCCATCTGAAATAAAAGTTGATGAGCAGTCAAGTGAAGAAAAGAGGAATGCATTATATCCCACTTATCCAAAAAGCACAAAATACCAAATTTTGTCTCATAAACAATGCATGTTCCTAATCTTAACTGGATCACTACTTCAGCTGCTACAAATGAAAAGCTATCACATGTTTCATCACCACTTAATGAATTCCAAACTTGCTCTGGTTTAACTCCCAGTCCCTGCACAGAATCCCCTGGACAGTTTAGGGTACATAGTCCGAAGCGCTTATTTTGTCTTTTATCCTTCTGTCTAATATAAAAATACATTGAACACACAAATATTTCACAAAGACATTGGTTCCTTTTTCCCTTGGTTTTGTCAGTTTATAGTAACAGAACCTGCTCCAAAGCAGGAAATTGCCTATGGAAATTATAGCTTATAGAACATAATACTGATACCCAAGTAACATACACTTTTCATACATTCATACACCAAGAAGACTAGGAAAAAAGAGTGGAAAACAAGAGGGAGCAGTGTTAATGACAACACCAAAGCAGTAAAGCATGAAAGGAAAGCAGCATCAAGACACTGCTCTGTGCTGTGCTATCATTACCAAATATAAAACAGTTTTCCAATGTGAGGCTCAAAAAGAAATTGGTAGCACTTGACCCACATAGTTCTTTCCACAAATCTGTATGAGCTTACCTGGCATTTTTCAAAACCAGTTTTAAAGGAGAGGTATTTATAAGTCTTCTTATATCTATTTCCAGAAGGTTAGAGCAGCACACAAACTCTCTATTAGTTAGTGATGAGTCCTTTTTATTATCAAGATTACCAAACTATGAAAATATTTGACTGAATGCTAAAGTCGCACTTTATATCGATCTTGCCAGATCAATATAAACACTCCTCCTGTTGGAGTGTTCTCTTCTAAAAAAGCTTTCTGCAGTAGTTCTTTTTTGATTGTGAATATAACACACACAGAGATTCCCTCAGAAACAACTAAATCTGAATCTATTTGCAACAACCAAATGTTAGCTGCTAATATTTATACAGAAGAAGGAAGAAAAAACTATTGAAGATGATACTACTAAGCTCCTTACTGGTCTTTTGGTTTACAAGAATTCATAGAAGATGCAAATTAGTTCAGATCTGATTGAAATACAAAGGTTTTATTCAAATCCAAGGGAAAAAAAACACAGTCCAAATCAAGCCCATGGGAATTTTTCCATTGGCTCTGCTGTGCCAAGACTTCAAATGGGTATTTAACCTGGCGAAGAAATGAGTAGAGACGATTGCAGGATTTCCTCTCGTTTGAACGTTCTCATTAGATGAGGCCTCGATGACCCCTGGGTTGATGGGTTGTTTCAATGTTTAATTGCTTTGACCTTCAGGGAGTTTCTTTTCATGTCCAACATAACCTTAGGTTTTTTAGTTTAATGTGACAAATTACTTCATAAAAACAGCTCTGGATATTTTCATTAATTCTGGACAAATTGTGTTACACATAAAAAATGTATTTTTCACTGATGCTGTAACCATGCCAAATAGTATCATAATTGTTCCTTTTTTAGCTACTTTGGTATATGTCTGTACATATTTAGAGTAATTGGTGTGATTTAAGAGAGTATATAAATGATGATGTAATTCTAAGAAGGGTAAGATCACAAAAAAGCCTACAATTTTGACACCTAAACTAAGCCTTCCCAAGGGTGACATTTTCTGAAAATTATTCACTTCTTTTCTTCTGAGGAGGGAGCACTGTCCTTTCCACAATGCCACTGCAACACTGACAGAGCCACAGAAGCAGCCTTGGTGATGATGCAGAAAAAGTGTTGGCTCTCTCCAAATAAGCCCTGTCCATCTGGGAGCTGCATCTTCCACATCTCCCTGTAGAGTGGTCCAGCTGCTCTAGAGCTCTGGAAGTGCCACCACTGGCTGCTTTCCACACAAGTGAGATGTCAACTTCCCTAGGCACCCTTGTGCCAAAGCATGTCAACAAAAATATTTCAGAGTCAAAGCACACAAGTCTGTGGATGGTTTTCCTGATTTTCCTCTCTAAACAAAGAGCATGGAGTTGCACATGGAAATGCCAGGTACTGCACAGCGCTCCTCCACTGCCTCCACCAGGCTGGCACTCCTGAGGAGGGAGAAGGCCCTGTCCCTCACAGTAAATCCAGTATGGTCAAATTTCCACCTGCTGCAGACTGGCCTCTTGGTTGACACAAAGTGCCCTTATGCCAGCCTGTCCATATGGAAATGAGATGCTTAGCTGCGTGCCTCACACATGCGGGTCCCCATCTGCAAATGTCACCTGTGAAAGACAGGGGCCACTCCAGAAGGCACAAAGCTCGGGATTGTTTAGGCAGAATGGAAAATGACACCCCAGCATTTACAATGGGATTTTTATTATCGATGTCACAGATATGATACTTGCTACTGACATGCTTGAATTAGAAGAGACAAAGTAAACTGTTAGAAAAAAGAGGCCATTGAACTAAATACAAGTGCAACCTGCATGCTTATATTGCAGCATTCGATTTCCTCTTAAGTCTTGGGAAGAGGGGGCAAACAGCAGAGGGGAGACCTGTGTTTCAGCTGAAATCTCTTGTGTCTACAGAGGAGCGTAGGGCCTCTCCAAAAAGCAGACAAAGAGCCAGGAGCAGGCAGTTGCAAGAGGTTTCGTTACAGGAGATGGAGTTTGCAATTCCCACCAACCTCCATCCCAGTGCAGATCTCTGCAAAGCTGCAAGTAAGGAAAAAGTCAAAAATACTGCAGTTGGAAACATTCCTAAGGGCTGAGCAGCTAATGACATGTCATGGTCAAAAGCTACACTTGTCATGTCCTAAGCATACCACTGTTGACACAGGTTTGGGATCTCTGGATTTATAAGCTGAGCAAGTGGTCATCCCTAGTCTCAGAGCCTGAAACTGGCTGTAAGAACCAAGAGGCCTTTTCTTGGAGAGTTTTGAATGGGAGCTGGGTTGAGAAACCAGGCAGTCCAGTTGGTGCTCACATGCCAATTTGTTTTGGTAAAACACAGTAACTGGTTCTCTGTGGTGAAAATGAAAGAACAGTGAAGTTTCCAAACACGTCACCCAAGGAGAAATGTCACTGGTCACTCTAAGCTTTGTAGAAACTGCTTATAATAGCAATAAAGTAAGGGCTGAGTAGGTTTCATCTGTACTGGTTCTCTTTTAAGCAAATAAAAGTATTTTTAAAGCATTTCTAGTATTGAAGTATCGATTGCAGAAGACCTTGTGTTAAGTGCTTCATTCCCCAATAGGTTTGGCCCCTGAGGGCTTTTGGGATCATAGCTCAAAGGATTGAATCTGCGACAGACAAACACAGATAGATTATGAGATGTCTTAGAAGGCCAAAAATCTGATCCCTCCTTCTGCAAAGTTGTGTACAACTGGAAGAGTGCAGCTGAATTATCCATACTAAAATCTTACGTCTTCATCCCACTCAAAAAGCCTCTCTAAACACTGTACTGTCAGGAATAAGAAAGAACAGCAAAACAAGCCACTGTGTGATTCAAATATTCCTAAGTGGTCACTGAAACACCCTCCTCTTGGCCGCAAGACTGCATTCTTCAACTCTGTTTGCTGCGCTATGAAACACGAGGTCATTTTTAGCACAAGCCTTACGAATAGAGACTGGAATTTTCTACAAGGTCTTCTTTTCTTATCCCCCATTTCTCCCCCCTTTAAAAACAACTCCCAGTCTGCCAGTACAAGAGGGTTCACTGTCTGGGAATTCCCTCCCCATGATACCTATAGCCTTAGAGGGGACCTGGTGGCCCCTGCAGGGTCTGCAGAAGCATTTGCCAGTTTACCTGGAAGCAACCTGATCTCTTCCTCCTCCTCCTGCCACCCTGCCTGGTATCATCTAGCAACAGCAAGAGGCTGAGAAACATCAGGAATAACAGATCCAATTTTCCTCTAAAGCCAAAGTTTTATGTTAAGGAGAAGAAGCGAATGATACGTTGCAGGTATTTATAGCAATTAGATGCTGCCTGTAAGAACGTGAGCTTGTCAGGAGGAGCAGTGACTGAAAGGCATGCAGACAGCTCCTTGATGAAGTGGTGTTCACTCGATGAAATCTGTACCCTCAGCATTTTTAAACAAAAAGCAGCTCCTTTTAGGTGAGACCTTTAACACTCGGTCCAGAATAGAAACAATAAAGGACTCTAGCACAGGCATCTCCCAATGTTTTGTATTTGAAACTTAGACCTACCTTTTTCTATTGTTTTCAGCCTTGATTTAGGAGCTTCATTACTTCTCTAAGTAAAAGAAAAGTCTGTCCCTTAACATTTACCTCTGCTATTTTGCATTTTGCAGAATTATGCAGTGTGTGTGCCAAACACAGCACAAATGGGCAGCCCATACATGTGAGCTACTGGCCAGCTGACCAGCAGTGCCTCATCATGCTGGGTAGAGACTTTCATGTCCAAACACTTCTCACTGCAGCAAGGAAGAAGGGTGAGTCTTTCGGGTGCCCAGGGGCACTCTACCACACCTGGGGTACATCCCAGCCAATATGAAACCACAAAAACCTATTCACTGGAATTAATGTCACTTCCATTAAAATGTTATGAATGAAAAAATACTTCAAATTTCAAATTCTTTGTTTTGACTCTACATTTTTTTAATAAATAGACCAATTCTTAATTATTCAAATTATGTACACTTGCTGAAATTTAGATTTAGGGCTAGAAACCTTAGGTCCAGTCCCAAAATCCTTTCTGACATGGGTGGAAGCAGAAGGCTGGGACTTCTTCTCAGAATGCAAACAGCACTTGCTATTCTGAGTTTCAGTCTTCCAGCAGCTCCCTGAAATGAAGTACTGTTGGAGCAAGAAGGAAGCCTTAGCTAGAGAGCATGCCCCAGCTGGGATACATTTTGCAAGTTTTGCATACCATTATGAGGACTTAAATTGAGCCCTCCTGAAGAAGCACAGAACAGGGAACTCCAGTGTAGGGAAAAAAAAAAAAAACACATTTAGATTCACCCAGATTTATATCCTTTGATCAAAAGCTGCCCCTTGTGCTTATGAGCATCTCATGTAAATATCTGCAAAGTTACTCCTTTATCTGCTTTCACATTTCTTTCCAGAGAAACCTTTGCAATGCTATCTGCAGCAACTGTGGTTTCTTGGGCTGCTGAAATTATGGCTCATAGTGCTGAATATTAGAATCTTATCTTTTTTCTTGTTAGGGATGTATCTGCCCCTTGTTTCAGAGGCTGTGACCATATTTCATCTCTTACTTTTGCAATATCTATAAAGAGGGAGTCCTGCTGCATAACTGGTCTCCAATCTGCCATGATAATGGAAAGAATTCTTTTATTGCCACTATATTTTTACTTAGCTACATCTTTCAAAGAATGCTGCCAAGGCTGGTCCAAAGTTTAAATCTCACAGAAGCAGACTTTTACAAACATATGTCTGAATAGAAATGCTGCCATTGATTTTTTTAATTGCAAATGAAAACAGTCATATTTGATGAAATAACCATTCCCCTGAACTTTCCACCCTAAGCCTGAAAACCTAAAAGTGAAAGTGACTCAAGCACAGGCAAACCTGACTTCATTGATTTCTATTGTCCACAGTGAGAAAACACAACCAGTAAACAAAGCAGAAAGAGTGACAAGTAAATTGGATTTTTAAAAATTCTTTCACTTTTAATAATGTTAAGGTGGGATTTGTAACACAGGTAAAGGCATTTGTTTGTTTTCAACATAGGAGCTGTAAGGTGACAGTGTCCCTTTAAATGCTTTCCCATTGTAATTTATTTGCTTCAGGGATGATGGCAGGGAAGTTCACACTGGAAGTACTTGCAGCTCCTGAAGAAGTTAAATTTGCCACAAGTTTCACACCCTTCCTCAGAGAGAGCTTTTGCTTTCAGGTCATCCCAAAGCAAGCCTCTTCCCTTTCATATTTCTCCCTCTGTGGGATATGGGATCCCAACACATCCTGACAGGGTTCTTGTGCACACCTTGACTCTCCATCCAAGGCAGAAAAAAGAGGATTCAGGCAGCTGAGGTGGGGCTGGGCAGGGTTTCACATCCGAAGATGAAAGTCCAGAGGCTCTGGTGTCACAGCCTTCACAGGACAGAGCAGCTGCTGAGGAAATAGACTTTCCCCTTCCCAGAAACCAAGGAAAACTCTGATGAGTGTCCATGAAAATTTGGCCTTCATTTTTCTCAGACCCAGCTTCTTTGGAAATCTGTTGAGTTTTTCCCAAGAGGAACCCAAGACAAAGTGGACAAAGGATGTCAGGATGTGGCATGATGTAGTGAGCCACATTAATGCTTTCAGCTGATCAAAACTGCCACTGTGGGATGCAAATTCCTGTACCAAACTGAAAGTCAGAATCCTGCACAAATCATTTCTGTTCATGTTATCACATTAAATGATGTTCCTGTAAAAATGTGAGGCTTTTCAATGCCAGAATTGTTCATGTTATAAATGCCTGAATAAAGCAACAGTAAAAGTCTCTAACTGGAGGAAAGCAACTGCCTTTGCTTCCACTCATCAGCATATCTAGATAAAAATCACCTTTCCTGTTTAGTGTTTGTCTTCCATATTTTCAAGTGTAGAAATTCAAGGAAAAAAAATTGCTGTGTAGCAGCTGGCCCATTTAAGGAGGTGATACATATTATTCAAGTGATTACACGAATGGCTAAAAGTGTTGCATTATTCCCTATTTTCATTTGTGCAGCATAGCTTTGGCATGGTGATGAACTATGTCAACCAGGAACCTTGGCTGCCTTCTAATGGAGAAAGCCCCTCAAAGATCTTTGATGTGACAACGAAACTGGGAAATATTACTGACTCACAGCCTTTAAGCAATCAAGAAGTGATCAAAGCAGTGAGTCAAGAATTCAAGGGAAAAATTACATGCTCAGGGAAATGAGAAAAGCTTATTACCTACTGATATTCAATAGAACAGGCAACTGAAAGTCTAATTTTGTGAAATATGCTTTTAATTGGTATTCACCGACTTATTGTATATTACTTATGTAAAAAGCAGCTTTTAATTCCAAAAAAAATTAATGGCTCAAAATTCCAGTCATGATAGCGTGGGGTGGAAACACTTAGTCTCATTTCAACTCTGTCCCACTCCAACATAAAATGCAGGGCAGGGGTCTTCAGGGTTCACCTCTGTAACCTCAGCCCAGGAGCCATAAGCTTTGCACAGATTTCTCCTCTCAGAGAGTGAAGGGTTGGTAAGGGCATCTGAGCATCATTCTATGAAGTGCCTACACCTGCAAATTCGTCAGGGACAAAGCACAAATGTCCAGCTCTGCAGGTAGCAGCACACTCTCCAGCCAGTGCCTGGGGACAGCCTGGGATATGAAGGGAAGACAGCTGAAAGCACACTGGGTTGGGGGAGAATAAAGTGCATCTCCCTTGTGCCACCCTGTGCCACATGTCCCAGCCCATTGTACTCTACTGGCTTTGGCCCGAGGTTTGGTATGAAGGTGTGCCTGCTTTCTGGGGAATCCCTACAACGTGGCCATGAAGGGAAGATGGGGTGTGAAACAAAAAGCAAAGCTCTGTCCTCAAACATAGAACGCACTGGGGAAAGGGCCTGTCAACTGCCCAAAGTTAATAACATTTGGACATCCAAACAATCCAGGAAGACTCCTACAACACATGCTAGCATGTAGTTATTTTCCTATGCTCTATTTTCTTCTAATCAGGTGAAATCACCATCTTTCTCTGTTTCCTACTATGGCTGTGCCATCACTGAAGTTGGGATGGCCATGGGTGCTGGCCTCTGCCCAGGAGCTCAGGTGTATCTGTCAGCCAGCCTGAAGACTGATGGCAAGAGGGCATTGAGTGCTAATGAGATAAGGACAAGTTTCCTTCACAGGCAGATTAGAGATGGGACAGGGGAAATTCCTTTCACCTGATCAGCATATTTTTGCTTTTGCTGAAAACACCCATTTATTTGCCTGGTGAACTCTTCATTCTCATTAGCTACATGTGATTTTCAACAGAAAGACTATCAACTAACTGGTTTTATGACTGTCCATTGATTGTCTGTCAAGTATTTCCATCTGTAAAACTCTTTGATTGTGCCAATGATCAGTTAAAAATTGAAGCTACTTGTCTTTTTGTCTTGTTGTCTATTTGGTCTTCAGCGAGACACTTTGACACTGCTGCTCCCACAGCATCCTCTGGGAAAAGCTAGCAGCCCACAGCTTGAATAGGAGCATTCTGCTGGGTTAGGAACTGGCTGGATGGCCAGGCCCAGAGAGTGATGGTGAGCAGTGCTGCATCCAGCTGGGGACAGTCACCAGTGGTGTCCCTCAGGGGTCTGTACTGGGGCCAGTTCTGTTCAATGTTGTTATTGATGACATGGATGAGAGTATTGAGTCTTCCATCAGTAAATTTGCAGACAACACTAAGCTGGGATCATGTGTCGATCTGTTGGAGGGTAGGAGGGCTCTGCAGAGAGAGCTGGAATGGTTGGATTGATGGGCAGAGTTCAATAAGATGAAGTTTAAGAAGCCCAAGTGCCAAGTCCTGCATTTTGGCCACAATAACCCCTGCAGTGCTATAGGCTGGGGACGATGTGGCTGGACAGTGCCCAGGCAGAAAGGGACCTGGGGGTGCTGGTGACAGACGGCTGAGCATGAGCCAGCAGTGTGCCCTGGTGGCCAAGAAAGCCAAGGGTGTCCTGGCCTGTATCAGGAATGGCGTGACCAGCAGGAGCAGGGAGGTCATTCTCCCCCTGTACTCGGCACTGGTGAGGGCACACCTTGAGTGCAGTGCCCAGTTTGGGGGGCCCTCAGTTTGGGAAGGACGTTGAGTTGCTGGAGCACATCCAGAGGAGGCAATGGGGGTGGTGAGGGTCTTGGAACACAAACCCTGTGAGGAATGGCTGAGGGAGCTGGGGTTGTTTAGTCTGGAGAAAAGAAGACTCAGGGATGACTTTATCACTCCCTACAACTTCCTGAAGGGCAGCTGTAGTCATGTGGAGGTTGGTCTCTTTCTCCAGGCAGCAACTGACAGAACCAGAGGACACAGCCTTAAACTGCACCAAGAGAAATACAGGCTGGATACATGGAAAAAGTTTTGTCTTGAAAGAGTGATAAAGTACTGGAATGGCCTGCCTGGGGAAGTGGTGGAGTCACCATCCCTGGATGTGTTTAAAAAGAGACTGGATGTGGCACTCAGTGCCATGGTTTAGTTGAGGTGTTAGGGCTGGACTCGATGATCTTGAAGGTCTCTTCCAGCCTAGTCATTCTGTGAATTCTATGTCTTGATGTTACATTCTATTCCCCCTAGACTCTACTTTTTAAAAGATCTCAAATGCTGCAAAACAAGAATTGTACATTTTTAGAGAACGCTGAGAGGATGATCCATGCTGACAGGCATTCACTCGCTATCTGCCACAGGTAGCCCAGCATTAAGTGCTTCAGGGCACTGAAAGGATTTGATCTAATCTTATATTATAAGAAGCACACAA